ATATTTATTGTAAGAAAAGATAGTCACTTGTTAATTTCTTATATGGTGGGTTGTTTCTTATAGGCGGGATGTACAGTGCGCGCGTTCATCACGGAGTTTGCTTTACTTCAAAATAAACATTTATTGTAAGAAAAGATAGCACGTTGGTGAACTTATAAGTGAATTGTTCAATGCACGCGTCTGTGACGTAATTTGCTTAACGTCAAAATAGGCATTTATTATAAGAAAAGAGTGCCACAATACTAACAGTAGGGGTTGTTGTAATGATAAGTTTGATGGTGTTGTATGGATTCTGCGTTGTGTTTTATATTATTTTTCTAATATCTTATTTGTTACTGCATTATCCAGTCTCTCACGTGAGAAATAAGGAAAAAAAAAACTTCCAACTTATTTTCAAGATTAAGTTAATGCATAATGGGACGTAAAGTGAGGTTCATCTTCTCTCTCGAGAGTTTTTTACTTCATTAAACAGATAATCTTGTTGCTTGTTGATGCCTTCTTTCTATTTCCTCCTTTTTATTAACTTCACCTAATTTAATCCCTCTAAACAACATAGTGAGAAAAACAGATAAATTGCATTTCTACATTTTAGATTTTTGCATTTTCGGAATTCATTCAGGAATCTTTAGTGTAATTTAAATGTGAATTCGGAAGTATTTTTAGCATTAATTGGAAGCACATCGTTTTATGGTTGCTTTCCCATTCGTTTGGGTTATTTGCGAAGAATCCTGATCTCATTTAGATGTTTTAAAACTAATGTACATCAACGGAAATACTACACAAACTAATTTGGAGTGCAAAGCATGATACAGTGGAAGTCACTGTATTTACTATATATTACAGTTAGATAGGTTTGATATTTCATTTTCTAATTTTTGTTTAGTCACTACAATAAGAGTAATAGAGAAGGATATTCGTGACTCAGCTGTTTGTTTTGTACTGCGGCAGACCTTCTATTTTATTGCTTTTTCGTTTTTCATTTGTTGAAACCACCATTTCGCCACGTTTCTTTCTGTAACTATGATATTCATCTTTTCATTTATTAAACTGTTAATCTTCTTTTATGGATAATGGTTTGGGGTAATATTCAAAAAAGTGAAAGCCTTTTTTCATTTTGAAAAAAATCCTGAAGGTTTGTGTTCAGACGTAATATGATAAGAAATTGTTCTTATTTATTCATTGTTAGAAAAGGGTCGTAACGCAATAAGTATATCAATAATCAAAATCATGCAGTCATCAATTAAAATAAAGGAAGGGTTTTTGGATTAGCCCAACTATAGTGCTTCTATGCATACTTAAAATCATACTTTGGCAATTGCACTTTTTTGCTTAAGAAATCATTTTTTCCTAGTCATGATTTTGTGCATTACAGGAAAATATTTTGTGATTTAAGTACAGTGGGAGATCCCTAAACTCATACTGTAAACTATATGGATCGCCTGAAAAAATTTCTCACTGAAAAGAAAGTTAACAAAAACTTCAAAAAAGCTGGGGCCGGTTATCGGCTTACTGGCGATAGTTCATCGGTTGCTGCACCGCAACCGGTCCCTGTCCAGCAGCAAGCAGTAATTCCTTTTTTACTTTTAACCTTTGAGATTTTTTTACTGTACTTTAGTCATTTATTTGCTGATCGTAATTTTTTTTTTTTTTTTTTAATAACAGCGAGCTATAGTTAAGAGGGGAGAGAAAAAGTTAATTATTTTTTGCTCTTTTTATTTCAGTATTTTAGAAAAACATTTGTGGATATTATAACCTTGTTGTTTTGACTTCTTTTTTTTCGTTGTAACATTATTTTACAGTCGCAGTTGCCACCAGCAGAACGTATAGCTACAGCTGATATTGCAGCGCAGGCGGCTTATAAAAGAATGAACTTGGGTGTAGCCCAGGAATCGCTAACGCAAAGGAACATACGCATGCGGGTTAACTTTCTTAGTGATGAAACATATTGCTGAATTGCCAAAAGTCTCACCGATTGAAATCTAAATTTGCATTTTGTTGGTCTTGCACTTTGCAAGACTTTTTAGCGTGTATTTGAAGATTACATGCAGTGGTTTTATGCCCTCTCTTTCAGTATCAACACTAAACCAAGTGTTGTAAGCGTTATCAGAATATAATTCTGTAAGGCGATTGAATTGCAATCTTTGCCATAACTGGTAAAATTAATTTTATATTCAGGCTCTTAAAGAACTGGAGATGGAAAAAAAAGAACGTGAAGATTCTACCAGCAACAAAAATGTTGAAATAGGGACTCGTACAATTGATGAGCGTGAATTTGAGCACTCTAGTGCTGTCAGTGGCGTTTACTTTACTTGTGACCTTCTTGGAGACGATTTGGTGCTAACGAAAAATGAGGTTAGCCTGTCTCAAATTGTCAAAATATTCACAATTTGTCGAGTATACTGATGTTAGGGATTTCTGTTATGAGTTGATAATACCAAAGATATTGAAATGATGTGCAAAATCGAATTCTCTAAATAACTTGTTTGAGACCTATTTCTTAAATATTATTATAAATTAGGTTAAAGTTATTGCAGATGCGAAAAAGAGTGGAACATTTTTTGCGAACACAGTTGGCTGATGATCCACTAGTTGCATCAACGCTAATGATCTTCTCTTTAAATGGTCCGCAAAAAATGCAAAATGCTTCAGAAACAATCCAAAAATATCTCAAGAATCTTATCGAAAATCCAGACGAAAGCAAGTATCATCGTATAAGAATTAACAACAAGATTTTTCAGGTAATTTATTAATGTTTACATAAGATTGTTTAATCTTTAATGCTTTTGGTCATCAACTTAATGTTTGAGTTTGCCTCTTGTACAGTTGTGGTTTAATTAGGTAGAGTCGTTTTTTAGAAAAATGAAAAATAAAATTCTGAAGGAAATATGTTTAACTATTTTTACTTACTCGAAATGGTATTCCATAATTTAGGAACGGGTTTCTTGTGCTAACGGTGGAAAAGAATTTTTGCTGGCGTGTGGTTTTGAAGAAAAAGATTTCTTCAATAATGAACAGCTAGAAACTTTCTTAGTTATACCAGATGATAAAGCAATGGATACACAGTCGTTGATCCAAGCTTTGGAAATTATACAAACCGGCCAGGCTGTTCCTTTAAAGTTGTCTCGCAATACTGCTGTAAGTTTTACATAAGTTTATAAATCTAACGTTTAGCGATTAGCGATTCGTTTTGATAAAATTAAGTCTTATAATTATCCATTTTCACTTTAGAGGTCTTATATTTTTACTTGAATTTTTAGCATAAAAGCGGAAGTCTAATTTATTACAGGTATATAAGCTTGAAGCGAATCAAATTATTACAAATCCACATCTGCCGCGCGACTTCTTTGATTTAGATTTCGTTGAAATTAAAAGGGAACAACAGCGTCGGGAAGCGGACGTTGATAAAGTAAACTTTTTGTGCTTTATGCAAAATTTTTTGTAAACTAGTGTTAAATCACCTTATTTAGAACTAATATGATGTCGAAAACTGTCTCGACGATTACAGCTCTTGTATTTTATCAAAATAAGAACCACGTACCACGTTAAATTACTGTACATTCAAGTTAATACAGCAGTTGAGCTAGCCATATTGTTTATTTTCTCCTTTCAGTATACAACGTTACGAACACGAGAAATGCGTGAAAAAGATGAATTGATGCGTAACTATCGCTACAATTATACTTTGATCAGAATTAGATTCCCAAATCGTTTTCTCTTGCAGGTTTGTTTACATTTCATTTTTGTAGCTTTTGTTAAATCTTTTATAAGTTGACAATACGTAGTTTTGTAGTTCTGGTAAGAAACGCTACGGCAGAAGTAATTTTTGAATTCAAAAAAAAAAATCGCACATCTCAGCATTAGTTTGTAAATAAACATAGGACTAGTTATTCTATGTCTAATCCAATGTAAAATTGAAAATAAGTGTTATGCATAAGCGTCGTACATAGTTGGATCGACATCAGTTTTCCTAATTACATTATGTATGAAACAGGTAACTGCAAAGATTGTAATCGTGTTTTCAGGATTGGTGTTTCTTAAATTCTGTTCATATTCATGTGAACAGTCTTTTATCAAGTTGTTTAACTTCTGTTTTATTTTACCATATGATTTATTTTTAGGGTACATTTGGATGTCATGAGCCCTTTTATGCAGTACGTAATTTCGTTGAAGAACATCTGACACATATTGAACCAATGTTATTCCTGTTGAAAGATCCGATCTCTGGAAAAGCAATTAATGATGATACGAAGACCCTAAATGAACTGAATCTTTTTCCGGCTGCTGTTTTACATTTTGAGTGGGATTCAGATGTGGAAGGTGAATTGATGAAACTAGGACGAGAGGTATTTTGACTAGGAATTTTATTTTTTTAATTATTAATACGCAAACAAATAACCACGCTGGTAAAATCTATCATCTTTAATTCTATCAATTTGTTAGTTCTTTTTACTGCTGAGTCTACTAAGAATTATTTTCATCATCTTTAATCATTATTTTAACTAGTCTTAAGTCCTACCAATATAATAAAATTATTTTCAATCCTCAGTCGAATTTTTTTAAAGAAAGAGAGCCATAGTTCCTAGGAAAATCAAAAATCTCTCATAACTCGTATGATTATTTCTATAAAAGTGAACGTTCATTCAAAATGCTCATCTTTCCTCCTGGTATCTGGTAATGCGGAGGATTTAGCGCTTGGAAGATTTTGAACTTTTCAACTTTATCCATTCATGCTACTATGTTTAGGTGCAATATCTGGATCAGCGTTTTATCGACACTGCGGAACCATTTGTGGTGGCATAGAACTTGCATGACTGCACCATTTTCACCATCCAACTCAATTTCACAAGAATGTTTTAGCAAAGCATAATTGAAGTTTTAACACCCCCACACAAGTTAAAAACCGATTTTTAAACCTCAACATTAAAGAAACATATAATGTTGATAATGACTTATGCTTTCACAAATGCCGTGTTACATAACTGCATTATTTATCCTGCTAATATCTCTTCACTGTTTGTTTTTTTTTTGAATTAGCTATGTTTTACAGCATAAAGTTTCTTGTTCTTATTGCCTTTCTTTTGCACTGTTCCATAGTTATAAAATGAAGTGATGATCTAGAAATTTTCGAAACGTTTTCGGTGAAAATACGGAAATCACAAGTTAAGGCATATGTGGGTGCTTAGCTCATTGGATTTCTCATTCTGCGGTAGATAAATTATGGTTGCCACATTGTGATAAGGACTTATTCAGTAATTTGGTTCTACACTATTTAAATTTATAGTCCTAGCTTGAGTCCCGTAAGCATTATTTCCCAGGTTTTAATTCCTTTAAAATTAGAAAAATTTCCCTCATAAATCAAACAACCAAAAGAAATTGATATTAGCTGTTGAAATCAATACATGGAAGGATGGCTTAAATTCAGTTGTCATGTTAAGCTACCATCGGGTGGCGAGGTGTCGTAACTGATAAAGGAAATGAAGTGATTTGACATAGATTTAATTATGTCCAACAAGCTTTATTTCAAAAAATTATATACCCATGGCACTTCATTTCTGTCTCTATATTAGTACTATTTTTTATAAAATGCACATTTCACCAAACTTACCATTTTATCTTTTTTTTCCTTGCAATTAAAACGAATAGTAAGGCGTATCAAGTATTGAAAAGAAATGAATGTTAGACGTTGAAACTTATATTAAAAACCAGCAAAAGAGGAATGTCAGTGAAACGGTAAAGCAGTAAAAAGTATAGTAGTTTAAATTTGGTTGAAGAGATTTCAAGACATAAATCCTTAAAAAAAGCATTGTAGTTGTATTTGCTTGATTGATGAAAAGTCATTCCCACTTTTTTCAAAAAAAGAAAAAAAAATTGTCTTTCTTTATGCCTCTAAAAAGAATGAATTTTCAAACAGAAATAAATATGTTTCCGGTAACTAATTTTTTTCGATAGCTCCTTGAGATAAGGAGATGATAATAAATCCTTCTTTTTAAATAAACGCTTTTTCAAATTTTTTGTATAAAATGGCGATTTGAGAAAAATTTTGAAGAGTGATATTAAACTTGTAATAATACATAAAATGATGTTTAAGCGTAATTAATTCTGTAATAGGAAATTAAATGTTCATGACTAGTTAACTTGAAATTTAGAAAATGATTAATTATAAGAAATATTAGATGCATATTTATGCCAGAAGAAATGATTTGTAATGATCAGTGACTGTTTTTTGTCCAGTACGCATCACTAATTAAGATAATTATTGTCTTTCCTAGGTATCAATGTGCTGCAAGACCAAGTCACATTAATTATGTGAACAACGAAGAATTAATAAATTTTTTGTCACAAAGTTCTTTCATTACAACATTTCTCCTAATTATAGAGTTAATTAAACAGGAAATTATGTCAGAATAGTAACTTTCAAATTTTTAAGTGTTTTCAAGAAATTGTTTAAACTACAAGATGATTTGGTATCATTTAATCCTTTCATTAAAATCTCTCATAAATTATTTTTACTTATTTCCAGAATGTTCATTCCGGTGCTTTTTACTATGCTGTTTGTTGTCAACGATCAGTTATCATCAGTTGAGAGTGCCAAGGAGGTATTTTTTGATACTTTCATTTTCCACTAGTAAATTTATTACTGTACACTGGAAATTTAATTTTAATTATTCAAACTGAGAAATACCTAAATGTGCATGCAAAATAGAATTTGCAGAATCATAATAAGCAAAAGTGCAAGAGAATTAGTTACAAGCACGCATTGCTGACAAGCAAAATTAGCTAACAAGCAATATTCAGATTAAAAATATTACATAATTTTTATGCATTAAAGTGTATTATGCATATAATGTGAAAGTCACAAAGATCACTCTGAAAAAGATTGTTGATTATATATAATGTTATGATTGCGATCATCCAAACATTTGGCAAAAATCATATCGAATCTAACTTCTCATTTTTATTTCATTCGCTATATATGTAAGTTTAATGTTGAGTTTAAAAAGTAACTTTTAAAATAATAAATAGGTATATTTCAAAATGATCATCATATGATGGAAAAACCATTTCATTCTCTGGAACTTTTATTAGATCATGCCAAAAATTTGTAAAATTATCGTAAGATTAAAGGAAAAGAAAGATAATAACGGTTTAATAATCTACCGTGGAATACGTTGAATAATGAAAATTATTATGTTCGATATTGTCTAATGTATGAATAGAACATACCAGTTACTCTATTAAGAAGTTTAAATATCTTTAAGATTGATTTATAAGAATTATTCATTTAATCTGAGAGTGATAACTTAGAAATACGGATATCTAAACTATTCACCACTTTCAATTCAATTTAAAAAAAAAAAAAAAAATAGAAATAATTGGTAAAGTTTAACATACGACAGTGTTTCACTTTTTTCTTAATTCCTAATAGTCGTTTATTTTTAGTTTTTTCTTTTTTCGATCTACAAATTAACGCTAAATTGGATAGAATGAAAAGATATGTACTTCTCACTTAACATTTTATGATAATTGAGCAAGTGTAACACTTATCATTACAACAACCCATACTGTTAGTATTGTGGCACTCTTTTCTTATAATAAATGCCTATTTTGACGTTAAGCAAATTACGTCACAGACGCGTGCATTGAACAATTCACTTATAAGTTCACCAACGTGCTATCTTTTCTTACAATAAATGTTTATTTTGAAGTAAAGCAATGAACGTGATGAACGCGCGCACTGTACATCCTGCCTATAAGAAATTAACAAGTGACTATCTTTTCTTACAATAAATAT